ATTATTATTTCTAAGTTTTCCTAAATGCATTCACACTGGTATTCGAGTAATGGTCAAACTTATACAAAGTTATGAAGGTTGCGCGGCCTCTGGCGACCAGTGTACGTTTTTTTAGCAGTGAGTAAGTAGCTCATTGGACAGCCGGCATGCTATCGTGACTGAAATGACTTCAGAAAAGACTACATGGTAATCAGTATTACAACCTTACTCAATGCCGGTTAGGGAAAGTGTATCAAACTTACGAATATGTTGACATGTTACGTGAATATACAGCCACATTTTATATTAGCTGCGATTTCCCAGTAATGCGTGTAATACGTGGAGTTAATGTATTACTCAACGCTAAAGCGTTCGCATAAAGGAGCATTTTGCAAAACTAAACCACATTTTTTCTCACCGTATCAACAATACAGAGCATTTACAATGTCGCATATTAGGGAGGTTGCTTTCTCAGAATGCAACAAAACATTACTTCCACCATTTCTGCGGGTTCGAATTTGCTTTTTATTGTATGGATAGGCAATTAATTATCTTAAGATAAAAGGTACTTTAATTCTTGAGACTGGTGTCGATTCTACATTAATGAAATCTAACTATCAGGCTTCCTTAATGCAGTCATAGCTTGTAAAGGCTAAGGATGTAGTAGACCAACAGTTAACCTTGCTAATAAAATATCTATCTGACTTGTACCAGGATAAAATCGATGATGTCTTTCACAAAATATGGACATGCATCTGTGCAAATGCGTTTATAGATGGATTGTGGAGCGGAAAACGAAGGTAAATAAATTTATCTAATGAAAGGCGTACATGGTAACTTCGCGATTTCCCTGAAATCCACTGCGCCGTTCATGCCACAACATGTCCCATTAAACTAAAACATGGAAAAAATTAAATACTCGGTTAGTTTCTTAAAAAAAAGTGTTATATATATGATTCTGCATGCAATTATGTCATATCAGGTCATATCAGGTTTTACTAAGGGAAATTTAGGTAAATACCTTTGAACTCCCTATTGGTACAGAACACTTATGCAATGCATTGGTTCACCAGAACACTTAAAAAGAGTGGCGTTGCCAGTAAATAGAACTGCGTAAAGAACGGCCGACAGTAAAAAAAATCCTTAGGCATTGTTTGGAAATTCTAGGGGTTTGGATGTCATTTGAGGGATTTAAGGAGAAAACCTGTCGCCCGTGG